CCTGGGGTCACCTGTCTGCCTCATGGTGGCTGCAGTTATGTGGAGACAGGCTTGCACCCACGAGGCAACCTGTGCAGTCACCGTGTGATTGACAGGGGGTTACTCAGAGGGAGCTACATGCGTAACCTCCGGGTGACCCCAGGTCACTGCGACTACTTCCAGTTGGAAAAGTGAAAATATTCAAAGCAACCTCTGAACAATCAGTTTTTTCCTGGCAGGAGGCTGCAGCCTTGTTTTTGAGATAGTCTCTTCTTATTGTGTCGTTTAGGTTAACGATAGTTCTAAGATAAAAATCAGAGGCATCGTCCGACCTGCTCGATGTACTCCAGCATCACCTGGAGGTTCATCTTTTTGAAATAAAATATTATCAATCAAGAGAAGAGTAAGAAAATCAAACCAGGCTCCAGACGTCCGGTCCTGATCCATCTCCTCCTATCCCAGCATCCTCCTCTGCATGTCCTTCTTCTGCATCCATGAACCTACTCTGAGGTCTTCCTCTGGTCCATCTTCATCCTCCACCCTCCCTCATCTGCACATGCTCAGACCCTCTGACTGAGCGGCCCCTGTTGCTCACTCTCAGTGAACACCTTCAGCTCCACCGTCTCCACCTTTAAACCTTCTTTCCCTCCTGCTGCTGTCCTTGTGTCACGCTCATCTCCACCCCCTCCACCCGCTCCGCCCTGCCTGCACTCCACCTCTCTTGTGTTCTGTCTGCTGACCCATGTATTCCAGCTCCCTCGCAGACTTTGCGTTGGCTTTCTTGCAATAATCTGCTGGCTGTTTCTTGCTTTGTGAGGCGATGGAGGACACCATGTGTTCCTCTCTGGTTTGGTTTTTACTGCCATGCTGCGACCAGTTTGGACATGTTGGTTCCTGTCTGAGCAGGAAGTGACTCGTGTTTCTCCTCTGCAGACTCCTACACCCTCAGCGTGTACATCGATGGCATCCATCACCCCGTGGCCCAAACAGAGCTCGCCCTCAGCGTGAAGAGTGGCTGCCAGCCAGGAGCCTACTGCTTCGTCTATCACCCCGCCGATCAACCCGCCGATCAACCCGCCGACGCCCCGCCCCGCCGCACCTGTCCCCTTGACCCGCCGCCGGCTCCACCTGCAGAATGCTTCATCCCTGCAGACATGGCGCCCGCTGACACCGAGGAGCCCAGGGTGAAGGAGGAGAGCCTGATCAGCTTGTAGCTCCTCCCCCATCAGCAGCAGCGGAGATGGTGAGAGGAGGGAAGCAAAAATGAAGCGATGCGTTTCCACCTCAGGTGTCATTCGAAGCCTGACGTGGACGAGAGCACGCAGGACAACAGGAAGTTCAGCCATGGCGAAACACGAGCAGCTCGACGAAACACAAGAAAACAAAGAGAAACTGAGCTCACGGTGGGCAGGGGTCTGGAACCCCGCCCACTGCAGCAGGACTCACATGTAATGCTAACATGCACATATATGATCATGTTTGTACTGTTTATGGCCTTTGGATACACGATGCTACTCTCTGCGACGAATTTAACCGAAAGGGAAAGTCGACTTTTTGGAAACGATGCAAATCATTTTCTCTAAGACCTGGAATAGTATTTAGTAAAAATGAGATATTGTGATTGGCTGAGTTAGGGGTGACTGTCTGAGGCCCGCTCGATCCCTCTGTGGTCGGGTAGACTCTGACGTCTCGTCCTCAAACAAAACCCAACCACACTCCAAAGGTCATCTCACGCTGTCCCTGCTGTTAATAAAGCGCCTGTTACCAATGCTGTGTCCTGTAATGTTTCTCGCTGGGTCACAAGATCCTCAGAGTTTTACCGCTTTGGTAACACAACTCTTACTTTGAAGTTTGTGTTGCACCTTCCAGTCCTGTAGGCGCACTGCTGACACCAGGGGGCGACCTGTCGGTGACCGAAGCCTCCATCCAAACAACTCCAACACTGATGAAGCAGCAGAAATGCTGACGGTACAACAACCTCGCAGCCGCTGATATCTGGGAAGATTCAGCATCACATGAATCAGCACAGGATCCACAGACAGGAGCTGCAGCTCTCACAGCTCAAGTTTCCCCATTTTCTAAATAAGAGAATTAAAGAATAAATGACTTCAAATAAAAATGTGTGCGTGCAGGATCATGGTAACCACTGCTATCAGTGAGTGAATTAGAGTTCAAACGTGCAGGACGGTGGAGAGAGTCTGTGACATGTGACAGCTTTGAGAGGAGGCACTCAGCGTTTGGTCCACGATGGAGTCAACAGGACTCACCTACATCTCTCCAGTCTAATCAGTGCCTAAATATCATTTCCAGCAGAATCCGGCGACGGCGATTTCTGATGAGCACAGGCACGGCGAGGAGGCTCACGCTCGGCGTCTGCTGCTCGTTATCCTGTGAGGGTGTTAGACACCTGCTTCCTGTCTGTGGTCATTATTTCCAGCAGCGCCCATAACGAGCTCCTTAAAAGGAGACGAGCTTCCTGTCAGAATCTGTTTTTACCTTTATCTTTGTGCTTCATGACCCACCAAACACACACAGACACACACACATAACTCAGGTAAGCTCAGTGTGAGCACATCAGGAACCCTCATCATGACTCATTTAATTTTCTGCCTAAGTTTGATCAATAATATAAATCGGCGCTCACAAACCTTTTTTGCGCCACAGACCGGTTTATGTCCGACAATATTTCACAGACCGGCCTTTAAAGGTTCACGGATGAATACAACCAAATAAAACCAGTATTATTCATAACACACGGGAACAGACCCAGAGAAACAGAGTTAACGTTAAAAAAACGATAAAACCCTGAAAAACATACATTTCACACCCGAGCCTCAACTCTCACAGACGGTGACCCGGGGGTTGGGGGCCGCTGATATAAAATATAGATTCTATTAATATGAAGGTTTGTTGAAACACCAGCCGCACACTAGTGGGCGGGAAGTTTCAGCAACAGCGAGCTGATCGGGAAAGGAGACAGGTGGGACTGAAGGTGGGCGGAGCAGGTCCTCTGTGGTAAAATGACCTGAAACACCTTTGATGCCACCGTCCTCTAGCAGCACGTGGACGCTGTGGTCCTCAGTAACTCTGGGACGTCCTGCAGGAATCATCCCTGGGACACGTTTGACGATCTGAGGTGCTTCAGCGCCACGCAGGAAACGTCTGTGCTCACATCGCCCACAGTTTGTGTTAGTGGCCTTCACCGTGGATAAGGACGCCTCGTTAACCTGTCAGTGTGGAGGAAGCTCAGACAGGTGTGTGTGTCTCTATTTATGAACGCGTTTTCTGTTTTTCATGATGATTTATTTTCTTGTTATTCCACAGAGAACATTTCTCACGTCCTATAAAGCTTCTCTGTTTGGCACGAATGAACAGTCCTGCACGTATGCACACACACACACACACGCACGCTCTGTAATGAGGACGCTGGCCCTCTGCAGCAGCACCGTGACTAACAGTCTTTGAAACGGGACACTAACAAGCTAACGGCGTCCTCGGCACTGAACCACAGCTGGATTGATCTGGTGAGGGGTGTACATGCTTCAGTGTGTGTGTGTGTGTGTGCGTGTGTGTGTGTGGGGGGCTCAGACCCTCCACAGTAAGCTGTATATAAGTATGAAAGACCACCATTCATCTGCACAGGGCGAAGCGTCAACCAAGAAGCACGAGTGAGGATCTATTCTTTCTATTCAAACTTTATTGTGTTGACAGGAAGCAGAAATCTGAGCGGCTGGGACAGAGTCGCCTGGAGCTCTGCTCAGTTTCTGGTTGGTTTCTCTCCCCGAGTGACGCGAGCAGCTCCGAGGAGACACAGCGACACCTGAGCAGCAGGTAAGAAGTGCCAAACTGGCACTGAAATAAGACATAATGTGGATTGCACAACACTGGTCACTACATTCTTCATTTCCAGTTAATACTTGTACAGCTGCTGTTATTGTGTATATATTTATTTATATTTCTTCATACATTCTTATATAGTTCTATATTGTGTATTTTGTTGCACAGTTATTTTATTTTCAACTTTAATTTATATATTTTATCTTATTCTTTCCCAGTTAAATTTACCCTTCATTCTAATTTGTGTTGTACAGTTATTTCATTTTTAACCTTAATTTATATTTTATTCCTTCCTAGTTAAATTTACCCTTTTTAATTTTTCATATTTATTTCCTATCTTATTCATAGCCTTTTCCTTTTTTGTTTTCTTTAGGTCACGAGCAGTTGTCCAAGCATTTCACTACATATCGTACTGTGTATGACTGTGTACGTGACAAATAAAATTTGAATTTGAATTTGAGATCACAGGTTAGTCCCTCACAGAGCGCCAAATTCAGTCCGGCATCAGATCAGGGTGAAACTGGCGGAGGCGTGACGGCACACATCGGCTCCAATCAGAATACGTCTTCATGATTGCTGAACTAACTTGATTGGAGTATAAAAAGCGTCCGTGTCCCCCTGCACAGGTGAGCTCAGAGTGAGCTCTGGAGCGAGACTGTTTGTTCGTTAGTCAGTTCTAAAGAAGTCCAGGTACGGCAGGGGGGCGGGATTAAAACGAGTTTTTTTTATCATGTAAGAATAAGTCAAATAAGCTACATTTAAAAAACACCACAGTGGTGACATCACTCGACTTCCTGTGAAAAGAGTAATGGATTACATGAGCCCAGTTTGAGTATAACGTGATGGCGCCGCCTCCTTCATCACCGCTGTTTACATCTAAGAACATTCGTCTGAATCATCGTTAATGTTTGTTTTGTCACTGTGACGCCTGTCATCACGCCCGAATAATCAAACGCTTTTAACTGTATGTGATTTAATCACTATTATTATTATTATTATTATTATTATATGTGTTGAAGAGACTGAGGAAATAATATTTCATGAATGCTGCGGAAGCGTTGCCACGGTGATAAAAAAATGACACCTGCGGTCTATGAAAACAAATGCCAGTGAATCCTGCAATATTACAATAATGAAAAAAAAAATCAATGTTAAGAACGTGGCCATGTCAGCCCGCTGCAGAGAGACGACAGCCATGCCAAACAGGTGTCTCCGGGGTTAAAGGTCAGCTCAGCCCGATTAACTTCCAGGCACCAAAAGCACCTCGTTAGGGCTCAAACTCGCTGTTTCACGGTCGCCTGAGAAATAACGAGCCAGAGGCGAGCGGTGACCTCGGGGTCAGGGCGCCGGGGTTTACAGCCGCTCTGTCAGCACACCTGAAGCCAGACTTTGGTCCTCAATGCAGAATAAAAATGTTTAGGAATTACATCAGTGACCATCATTCTCCGGAGGAGGCGCTGCAACGTGAAATCACAACGAGCTTCATGAAACTGAAAATTCTTCTTCTGTTTGTTTTTAGGATGTCTCAGCTTCCTGTTTTTCCCCGCACGTGCGTCCCGCTGCTTTGCATTCTGGGTATGATCTTGCTGACGTCTGGCTTCCCTCAGCCTCGCCTTCCTCTCAGGTGGGTACGCTCTGAACCAATGAATGAGCCAGACACTCTGCCGGACATTGGAAAGAGGATTTCACCTCCTACGGAGGCCTGAGGGTGCCGTGTGAATGATGTTTACATGACGTTGTGATGTCACTGTGATCTCGTCCAATCGCAGAAGTTTGGAAGATTCGGAGGAACACAAACGAGTCGACTGGAACGTCCTCTACCCTTCCATCTCTCTCCGTGATTGGAGCATCCAAATGATGTCAGCGCCCGGCCTTAGAGCAGCAGCCAACAGCAAAGCAGGACTGATGAGGGAGGCGTGGCTATTTGCTCCAGAGGGGGCGGAGACAAGGTACAGCTGGGCAAAACTGATAAATTCATAATGAAACATCATAGACTGTATATGAAAGAAGGACAATGATGAAAAACATTATACCTGCATTCTTTCTAGCGTCCAGCAGGGGGAGACTCTTCTATCTGTACAAAGCAGTCTGATTGGATAGAAAAATAAAGACTGGTTTATTATTATTATTATTGTTATTATTATTATTATTATTAAATTAACAAACAGTCAAACTTAAACGGGGAAAAATTGAATCTCCCATTTAAACAGTGGTGCACTGTGTTGTTTTCTGTCTGTAGTGTGGAGGGGGCGTGGCCTGCAGAATGGTCGTCTCCGGGAGCCGGGATGGCGAAGAGGAACCTGGTGGTGGCTGACGACGCGGCTTTCAGGGAGAAGAGCAAGCTGCTCACCTCCATGGAGAGGCAGAAGTGGCTCAATTCGTACATGCAGAAACTGCTGGTGGTGAATTCGTGACGCGTCTCCACGGTCGCCTCCAAAGTCCCAGAAATTTACCCGACGACAGAAAACATCAGAAGCTGGAATCTGTTTAATTTCTAAAATGTTTAAATTTAAAGTGACTCTTTTGGCTCTGCTGAAAACAACTTTGTGTTTAATTTGATGAATGAATAAATATGCAAATGATGTTTTTGACGCCTGTAGTTTGACTTCACAACATTTCATGTATCGGACCAACAGATCCAGTTATGACGGTGTGTGTTTATCAGTTATTAAATGCTCTGAGTGACTCGTGTGCAGCAGCTGTTTCAGTCTCTGCAGAGACGATAACGTCCTCACAGCTTCTGCTCCACCAGTTTAAACTGGACGCTCACGGTGGAATCAGCACCAGCTCTTCCAGCCTGCCGATCGTCTCCTGCAGCTTCGTCCTGTTGGTCAGCCTCTGCTCGTCCCTCCTCTTCATCAGCACGGCCTCTGCATGAAGAAGCAGCGCCACGGCCTCGGACGCCGGGAGCTCGTTTGGAGGCTCCGCCTGCCCACCGGGGCCTCTGGCCGGGCACCTCCTCGGCTCCTCCAGCTGAGGCCTCACTCGGCAGACTTGTGAGAGGGAGGGCAAGGATGGGAAGGAGGAGAGAACAGGAGGGAGGGACAAGGAGACGCCAAACCTCCCTCCTCCTTCTCTGTCCTTACCATCTCCTCCTTGTCTCCTCTGTCCTCTCTGCAGGAGCACAAATATCAGTATAAACACCATAAACGTCCATGTAAGTAGCCTGATTAGAAAACACTGCACATATTTTCACTGCAGATGACACCCAGCTCTATCTACCCATGAAGCCAGATAACACACACCAATTAGTTAAACTGCAGGAATGCCTTAAAGACATAAAGACCTGGATGGCCGCTAACTTTCTGCTTCTTAATTCAGATCAAACTGAGGTTATTGTACTCGGCCCTGAAAATCTTAGAAATATGATATCTAAGCAGATTCTTACTCTGGATGGCATTACCTTGGCCTCCTGTAACGCTGTGAGGAACCTTGGAGTCATTGTTGACCAGGACATGTCCTTCAACGCACATATTAAACACATATGTAAGACTGCTTTCTTGCAAGACTGATAGAGAAAAACTAGTTCATGCTACTTCCTGTTAAAAAGGAATTCTTCCTCCCCACTGCTGCGCTCAGCAGGTCGTGTGATTGTTGGGCCGCTGCATACTGAGTCCGTACCCTTCAGCTGTGCTTTGGTGCTTCATAAATAAAACTCAAACTAAAAATTGAAATGGAGTTAGGCTCCGTTATGTTGGATGTCGTCAAGGCGACTACCTGCAATCTGAGTAAAGCACAGAAAAACAAAGAATCATGGGAAATGCTCGAAGCCCGCACAGCATCGATTTGAGTTTAAACATCTATGGAACATCACGGTTCGGTCTGCAGGTTTTCCATGCATCAGCATCACTCTGAAACTGACGCAGTCAATGTGGGGTGGGACAGATCCACTGTGACAAAGGGGCAAATTTCCACCTTTCCACCTAACCGAGACGTTTTCAGTGCCTACATCTGACTGAACGCTTTCTAATGAGGAGAAATCTGTCCCATGTAGGATAAAAGTCAGGACCTGTGTTGGCTGACCTCTGTGTGCTGCTCACCTGAGCTGCAGGCAGTCCCAGCAGCACCGCCTCCAGCTTCTCCAGCCTGCTGTTTCCATGATAACACACTCTGGGGTTCTCATTGGTTAGATGTTTGGGCCTCCCGGTGATGGGATCTTTCAGGTCCACAACGCTGTCCTACAGTCACACACACACACACAGCATCACTTCCTCTAACATTGCTGTTTCAGCCACTCTGCTGTGAAGCTGATTACTTTTTTAAATTCATCATATTTTCATGGTGTGAGAATCACAAACGCACCATCCAAGTCCAGAAGACGTCCTCCACCTGCTTCCACTTCAGGTACGCCTCCAGGAGGCTGCACAGCTGCTGCAGAGAAACGCAGTCCTGCAGCAGAAGGACACGCCTGTCAGCTCCTCCTGTTATAAACTTATCAGTACTGTTCAATCAGGAGCTGGTAGCCCCGCCCTAAACCCTCCCTCCTCCTGCTCCCTTGTGACGCTAAAGGCAACGTCATCTCCAAATACGCACAGACCATAAGCTAGTCTGAGCTCAGAGATCTGCTCACTTCCTCACAGACCTCACTGCTGGAAGCTGCCTTCATCTTTCATATACAGAGTTTGTGAAACACTCAGACGTACCTCCTCGAGTGCAGCCGAGCTCTGCTCAGAGGACGGCGCCGGGGTGACGCTCGCAGAAAGAACCTGAACACACAGTTGGTTTAATTTGGTTTAGTGAACATGAAGTGGAGAATATCCGTGACAAAAGTGGAAATCCTGGCATGAGTGGAAACAGTAATGTGGATTTATGGTCCAGGCTCGCAGCAGCCCTGTGAGCTGGAGGTTAGCACGGCTCTGACTGGGAGCGTCAGTGCTGGGACATATTTCTAAATTGGGAAGCTGTTTCGAGCTTGTTGTGTTCATAATATAATATAGAACATTGTGTTTCACGTCATTGAGCAAAATGTGTCTGACTCAGTTTGTTTGAAAGTGGAACTGCTGCTTCTGATTATTCTAATGTCACGTGAATGAAAGGGTGAGGTTTCCTCACAGCGTGCAGAGCTCGGGTTTGCTCTCGTAGCATCGACAGCAGCATCCGTCTCTGATGTCTCAGGCAGCCAATGAGCCACTGGAGTCTCCTCAGGGAGGCGAAGTCTACATGGAGGTCAGCAGGAAGGTGTGGCAGCACCTGACAGAGAGGGAGAACACAGGTAAGCACACATGGGGGAGGCTCACCTGCACGCTGCCGTGGTACTCACAGGTGTGCACGTGAGCAGCATCCTGTCCAGCTTTTGCACTCTCTTCATCACCACGCTCTCCAGCGCTCCGGTGGCGAGCAGCCAGCCGAGCGCCAGGAGGAGTTCCCGGCTGGAGGCTGCGCCTCCTCCTTCTCCCTCATACATCCAGTCAGCGTGAAAGCCGCTCTGCCACAAGCCGGCGGCCACGAGCTTCCTGCGCTCTGAGGAAAGGCACCAATCAAACGTCACTTACAGTGTGCACGAGCAAAGTTAGGGCGAGATGAAGAAGTGCTGACCTGCTGTCGGCTCAGAGCTGTCACAGGAAACGACGCTGGTGGTCTGAAGGATGTCGGCGAGCAGCTGCCAAAACGGATCTTCCTGAAAATCCAGCGAGACGCTGAGTTAGTCCAATCAGGAAGAGGAGAAAGTGTGCACGATGTGACACACACACACCTGAAACTACTACATGTGTGGATGTGTTCAAATGTCCAAGCTTTACACACATTTAACATTTGTGGCTTTCTTTTCACTGAGGTGAAGATCACCTGGATCGTCACATGACGTGTATGCTGAGTTCAAGCACCAGTGGAAAACTAAAGACTGCAGTCAGTCCTCAGGAACACATTTAGCAGCTCCAGATCGCTTGAAGGCTGAATTTTGAACCAGCCTGAACTCACACTGACCACACAGTTTGACCCCGCCAGCCCCCGACTCCCCTCTGTACACAGACTATGCAAATTACCATCAGTGCTGGGCAATAGCAACAACAATAACAATAAATACAAACCCTTATTTATTTGTTTTTAATCTCATTGTATGTGTGTATAGTTACAATAAAATCCGTTCTATTGTATTGAAAACAGTGGTGACCCCGTCACACCCCACCATCCCAGCACCTGCTGCCCTGAGCACACCTTCCAGCATCATCCGCACAAACCCGAGCTCAGCGTGATTATCGAGCCCTTTGCTGCCTCCATGTCACCTGCAGATGTCACTGCAGCCAAGCTGTGGATGAGTGAATGAAGCGAGCCGGTGCTGGTTCACGCTCCACGTTCACAGCACCAGCTCTTACTGACAGGAGGGGAAAGATGCTCTTCTCCTCGCCTGTCCACCCCCCTCTGACATTTCAGAAACCCAGCTCTTAAATCTCTTTTCTTCTTCTTCTCTTGGAGCTTCAGCAGCTCGTCTCCATCACGTGCTGTCCTGTGATTGGCTAATTGGATACTTATGTAAACGAGCGGTTGACCACGTGTACCTAATAAAGCGGCCGGTGACGTGCTCCTGACTCACCTGGACCGCGTCTCCAAACTTGGCCCGTCGGAAGGAGTCCGGGGGGGGCACAGGGTCCAGCCCCGCGGCCGCCAGCAGCCTGCACAGAGCCGCGATCACGTGCTTCACCTGCTTCACGTGCACGTCTGCGCTCCTCTTCATCGCAGCAGCTGGACAGATCTTCTCTCTGCCGTCAGTCTGTTGGCATTTCGCGGCTAACGTGTTTACTTCCGGGTCCGAGGCCGTTACCAAGGAAGGGAATAAGCCGCAGATTGATGTTCGTCGTAACCAATCAGAAGATAGATCCTGAGGCGGTGGGTGGGGCGTAAGTTCATTATTATTTTTTCGTGTTCGTTTCTATCTAAACTTTATTGATAACAGTGCCCTGTGACAGAAACATCAAACATGGCTCCCTCTGATAGAACTCTCCGATAGAGTCCAGTAGAAACAGTAAAGCTCGTTTCTGATTGGTCAGTCTTCCTCTAACCTGAAGGAGTCGCACAGCTGAAACCTGAAAGTTTACCCAGAATGCACTCTGTTGTAGTTTCCTGCAGCGTTTCTGCTCCTCGTGTCACAGACGTCCAATATATTTGAATCATCTGATCTTAAAGCCAACTGTGAGGAACCTTCCAGCAGTGATTATTCTTAAAAAAAATCAAAAGTATTTATTTAAATGATCAGAATCATTGAAAATCATAAAGGAACCGTCACAACGTATGAACACGAACTCTGAGTCACTTAAAGCTGTAACATTGGACCAGCTGCAAACAGCTGTTAGAAGCCGAGGCGTTCTCCAGCGTCTGCAGCACAGTCCCGAGCTGCTGTTACAAAAGAGAAAGTCCGTTATAAGACGAACAGCGGTCCGACGAACCACAGGACGCAGGGGTCAAGCCTCTCCGTCTTCTCCTGCTTGATGACTGGGATTCCTGAAACAGCAGAAGAAGAGGTGAGCCCTCTGCTGATTGGCTGATCGTCCCTGTGTTCAAACGCTCACCATCCAGCTTCCTCAGGCCGGGGAGTCTCTTCGTGACCTTGTCCATCCACGTCCCCTCAGCCGAGTGCTTCTCCTCCAGAGGATTTTCCACAAGCACGAGGTCGGGGAGGCGCGGCAGCTCCGCCAGCCTCATGAACTCACCTGCACGCATCACATCCAGATCCCACCAATCAGCAACAAGGAGAAACTAAAAACAAATGGGTTTGAGTGAGTATTCCTGAAGCCTCGGTTCTTTTTGAACTTACTTCAGTCTTTCACCAGGTTGTTGGACATGTACAGGACTCTCATTCAGCTTCTCCAACTGGTTATGAGACCCACAGCTGTTCCAGCATGTCACCTACAGCCTCCTACACACACACACACACACACACACACACACATACACAGCTTTACAGACACACACCGGCCACCTTCTCAGCCTCCGTATTCATGGCTTACCAGCTCGGTGAGCAGTCTGATGTTGTTCCTCCCTAAAG